GTCACGTTCTCTCGACCTGGCCACACCTCCGCTCTCTAAACCCCCTTCCTCCACCCACACCCCCTCCCCTACCCACTTTGATGCATTTTTCAAATTTCGCCTTGGGGCGGAGTTATCTTTTCACAGGGGGGGGTAAGTTACACTTTAAATTATTTAAAATGGAAATATACATGTTATTGTAAAAAAAAAATCTATGAAACTTCCAGGTATATTTTTCAATCATTCGCCACTTTCTTTGCTGGTAAACTGACAGTATTTAACATTGAGGCTTGTCTCTGTGTGTTTTGTTTCTTCCAGCTTTTAAATAAGACAGCAGAGTTTGAGGCTGCGGTGAGGAGAGTCCTGTCAGACGTACGGCTGGACAATGACATCGTGGTGTCAGTCTTCGAAACCAACATTCGAGTCCTCGGGTGAGACCGGGTTCTCCTACCAACACGTTCAAAGTTCTGAGCAAAAAAGCTCCAGTACTTTTGTTTTAACATACTCAAAAACATTAATAGCTGCAATAAAAACAACTGAAGTCCAAAAGTGTAAAATACAATAAATAAAAATCATTGTATTCTACTTCATTCTGCTTTTCTTCTTTTTGTGTATGTGTGTGCTCAGTGGTCTGCTGGGGGGTCATTCCATGGCTGTGATGCTGAAGGAGGGTGGGCAGCACATGCAGTGGTACCAGGACGRCCTCCTTCATATGGCCAAAGACATTGGACTCCGACTGCTACCAGCCTTCAACACCAGCAGCGGCCTGCCTTATCCCAGGGTGAGACMGTGATTCATTTTGCACTTCATTGCCAGAATCCCAAGAATATTTTGTGTGAAAGGCGTAAAAAAGCTCTTATTTATAGGTAAGATGATAAACTCTCTCTTAGCTTTTACAGCAGCTGTTTAGTAAGGATCACTGAACAAAAAGATTCGTCTGCTCGTTAAAATGTTCCATTGTTATTATTCTGTAAACATATTTTTTTMTGAACCATCCAAACCTGTTTTCTCTATTAGCTTGACCAGCTGTCAGATCAAAATTTAATTTTCTGCTTTACTGCTCTGCTYCCGGCTAATAACTCTTTTAGCTGAAGAGATTTGCAAACCAAATGTGTGTCTCAAAATGGATGTTTAATCGTTTTTTCTTCATCCCTCTGCTTACTAGGTTAACTTGAAACACGGAGTCAGGGGTCCTGAGACGCGAACGGGCACAGAAACGGACACTTGCACTGCGTGTGCAGGGACCATGATCCTGGAGTTTGCTGCCTTAAGTCGCTTCACTGGGGACCCTGTGTTTGAGGTAATCTGATGTGTTGCAGTAATATTAGATAAGTGTAATTCACAATTTGATTTAATTATCCACATGTATCTAATGAAAAAAATAGTTTAACGTTGATCAGTTTCTGAAGGGAACTGTGACAACTCACCAAACTGAGTTAGATTTTAGCGTTTATCTAAAGATGTTTTTACCAGATTTATTTTCCCAGTATTTAAAAAAAGGATATGAAATAATTGAAGCCTGCACATATTAGCACGCAGACTACCAAAGAGCCGCACCCTAAAAGTGAATCCAGTTTCTATGGATCAGGTTTGCAATTTATTGTTTTTGAAATTCCACCGTTATGTAAGGAGTTATGAAAGCTAAACGTTTTCTACATGTGAACTCTGTGGGATCGGTGTCTGCTTTCTACTGGTCCACTACTCGCACACAGCTCATTAAATAATCTGATGACAAGGAAAGCTTGATRTTAGCATTTGTTTGTCTCTATAGCCATTAGCTTCAGTAAAGTCTTTTTCTGTATTTATTCATTTTTATTTTGGGGGCTTTTCTGGCAATAATCTGGTTTTCTTCATTATTGCATTTAAATTTGTTGGTAAATAAATCTTCCTTTGATGATTTATATGTAATCATTTAAACTTGTTCAAAGTGACTTAAAAGGGACACATCATGCAAAGTCCCCTTTTTTAGTCGTTAAATACATTTTGTTGTGTATTTGGAGTTTTTAGGAGTTCTAAAAAGTTTAATTTAGTCTCTCCCGGTGCTGCATAGAAATCTTTATAATCTGTTTGGGTTATATTTTTCAACCTGTCGAATTTTCTCCATTTTCTATGATGTTTTCTGAACTATTACATGAATGAATGAAAGAATGATTTTATTTATTCGGGACGTGTGCAATTAAAACATAATTTGATTCATTGCACCAGGTTTAGCCTAAGGCTAGTTTACATCTGTAGTCACATCACAGTTTTTGCGACAGAACTTCTAAATAATAGAATAGAATAGAAACAGCCTTTATTGTTCCGTGTGGGGAAATTCAGGTGTAGCAACAAAACAGTATGTTGCTATGTGACAATATCAAATGTAGCAAAAATAATAGAATTAAAGACAGTAACAATAAAAATAAACAGATTAAACAAATAATAATTACTGTACCGGACTATCAAGGTGAAATTAGATAAAAATGAAAGTAAAAAGCAAAAAAAGAATCGTACTTAACATGTTATTTTTCATGCAAAAAACACACCACAGCCTTCATTCTCAGGACTTTATTACATTCAGTGTTCCTTCAGTGCATACTGAGCTTGGCAATTAAACCTTCTCCTTTTCTGGCCCCTCCACCTGGAACAAGCTTCATTAGGACCTGAAGCTCTCCAATTTGGTCACACTTGGGGAGTTTAAGATTTTAATAAACAGATTTGAAAATTTGTCTGTAAACGCCTGTGCTTGTTGTCAACTAAAACCCTTTCTTTGATGATGTATGGTATTGATTTTTAGAAGTGTTAAATAAACTGTATTATTGTTTTTTATGTTACTTTGTTGTGGTGGATGTAACAGGTCTCTCTTGTAAATGAGACAATGAGTCTCAAGAGATCATAGGATAAAGGATAAATAAAAATAAAATAAAATAAGCTACGAGTCCAACTTGGGGGGTTGTTAAAATAAGGTCGGGACTTACCAACCACAACTTGGTAGTCTTCATCCTCCTCTGGGTCAGAATCTGGCTCCAACATGTGAGGCTGGGTGGACAACTCTTCCCTTGTTGACATCTTTTAATTCATTTGTAAATAAAAAGTTTCTGCACTGCTGTATAGTTATAAATCCCAATCAAACTAAAGTGGACCGGTCTGGGAGCTGGGGGGGAGCACCTTGCTTGGATTTAAAGAGACGAAACGAGTTGATCTGAGACAAAACTCAGAAAAGGGATGAAAGAGGGGCTTGTGGAGTTACAGTAAGGAGGAATTCAGTCTGCAGTTCAACTCTATATAGACCCCAACTGAATGATTTAAATGTGAAAAAGAAGGATTCAAAACATATGTCTTCTTTAAAAGAGGAATAAGTGGGAGAGTCTGGCACACACCAAGTGTTAAATCCATTTATAGACAGGAGGAACCTGTGTGTATAAATACAGGGAGGTGTTTAATCTGTGAATGGTGTTGGATGAGAAAATGTCATTTTCTCTGAAGTGATGAGGATTTTATAAATGCTTGGAAGCGGTGGACTTCCCCACTCTGATCACGTGTCTCATATCAGATCTTCACAAAACTCCAGAATGAAAGAGCTTTTTTATCAAGTCATTTCAAACTTGACTTCAAATGTAAAATGAACGTCTGCTTATTATAAACGGTCTTTATGTCTCACCTGCTGCATTTTGTTATCTGTTTACCGTCACGCCTGTTAGAAGGCAAACAGGTTTACTGCAGCTTTCTCCAACTGTATCTCACCACTGCTGTTTGCCTTGGTGTGTCGTGTCATTTCGATTTATGTWTTTATTTATTTTACTTTTAAAAAAGCAATATGAGCACTTCAGCCATTGTTTGCTTATATGTAGATGCTTCTATATTTACACCAGTGTACTCGGTGTTCAACTTGTATAAAGTTGAGTGAGCAACTTGGTTTTATCCATCCTAATTTGAAGAAGTGAGTGTAACTTGTTTAAGGATGTAAGAAAAAAACATTTCCTTCAGCTTGAGCTTGGTTCATTTCCTTCTGGCAATAAACTGCTGACCAAGCAGTTCAGTAATCTGTCCACATTGGACAGCTAATGCAGACTGATGGATTATTAGCTTTTAAATCAATAAAACTCCTTCCTTCATACGCACACAGGATCATGCCCGGAAAGCCCTGGACTTTCTGTGGGAGAAGCGACAGAGAAACAGCAACCTGGTTGGAACCACCATCAACATCCACTCAGGGGAGTGGGTCCGAAGAGGTGAGCRTGTGGGGACTGAGGGACAGATGAGAAGCATATGTGGAGGCGTGACAATGACTTGTCTGTTGAAGCAGAAGTCAAATAGACCAAACAGAACCTGTGTCCTCTGGTTTRTGTCTCATCATGTGGTGACGATGAAATACTTTGTCTCTTCCAGACAGTGGAGTTGGAGCAGGAATCGACTCGTATTATGAATACCTGCTAAAGGCCTACGTGCTCCTGGGAGATGACGAGTTTCTGCAGCGGTTCAATACTGTGAGGAAACRCACACATGTTGGTTTYATCTATCCTCATGGGGACTTTGCATAGACTTACATTTATTTGTCAATCATTTCTACAGCCTGACCCTTTACCCTAAACCTAACCACACAGTACATGCCTAACCCTCAACCTAGCTTAAACTCAGTTCACACCTTGGTCCTAAACCCCCACCCAAACCTGACATTCATACAGTACGTGTGGGGTCTGGCCTTTGATCCCCATAAGGAACACTGGGTCCACAGAAAGCTGTGTTTGTCTGGAAAATGGGCCCCATGATGTAGCAAATGTGCGTCTATGCACACATGCATGCACACGTTTGCTTTTCTATTCTCATGGGGACTTTACATTGACTTCCATTCATTTACCAGTCTTTTCTATAGCCTACCSTCACCTACACTTGTCTTTCTGTACATGTGTGGATTTTCATTGACTTCCATTCATTTCTACAGCATAATCCAGACCCCTTACCCCACCAATACAAAGACACACACACACGCACACTGCTGAATAATTTCATGGTCCCTGTCTTCATATTAATATTTTAAGGCCCATAAACATTTCTTAATAAGCGTTTCCTAGGTCGTATTCACACCTGACAATTTGCTCCGCTTTAAACGAACCAGAGTTCGTTTCCAGCGTTGGTCCGGACCTTTTGTGCAGGTGTGAATACACTCGTGAACTCTGGTGCGGATCAAACAACCAGACCAAGACCCACTTTTTGAGGTGGTCTCGGTTCGCTTCCAAACAAACTCTGGAGCGGTTCACTTCAGTTTGCTTCTGGTGTGAATACAGACCAGACTTCAATCGAAACAACTGCGTTAAACATGCGCCTTTTTGGACTTCACAGGCCACCATTGCTGAGCTAAAGAAACTGAAATCATACCTGTTTCATCGTCTCCTGTTAGCAGCTCTGCTGTCAGCATGTTGTGGGTCAGAACACGCAGAGCACCTCGTCTCCTTTGGGTTGTGAGACACATTTACTGACGTCGTTCCAAAATTAGAATTTCATCACAGAACCACCATTAAATTAGCTGCTTCTGACATTTTAAATGCTATTGCAGTTGTTCTAACAGCATAAATGTGCGCATCAGAACTGCAGCATGCAGGACTTCTGTGTTTTTTTCTGGGTCTGTGGCTCAGTCCCGCCCCCGTCCTTTCTGTCCAGTGGGAGCAATGATCGTCAGCCTCATGGCTTTGTTTGCAACTTATAGTTGGTTTGCAGAAAAGCACAATGTGAATGCAAACCGCACCAAACGAAAAAAAATAAAGTCCACTTTTGGTCCGGACCAAACAAGCTGACCAAAGGACTTTCCTGGTGTGAATACACCCCTATAWTCAATAAAGTGGCAAAAAATGTGTATTTTTATTTTTTATTCAAATTGTGTTTAGATATAGTTATTGTCAGGCCTGATCAAATCTTCTCAATTTCCCAGTTTTGAGGTCTTAATGAATAATACATGAGTTATTGATTCTATCTTACTTTAYAGTAAATATTTAATGAGGTTAAAAATACCACTGAAAGCTCAAAGTCAAGCTTTCAGGTGCATTAGGTCCTCAGGTTTATAAAAGCTTGATCAYGTGTTGCAAACTGCATGTGTGTTAAGAAGCTGTTTGTTTTGTTGTGTTTATTTAGCACTATGCATCTATAATGAAGTACATCAGCCAGCCTCCTCTGCTGCTGGATGTCCACATCCACAAACCTCTGCTTCCTGCTCGCACCTGGATGGACTCTCTGCTGGCCTTCTTCCCTGGACTGCAGGTCTGGTTAGACCGTGGGAAGCTTTTATTGTCTTTATTGGCCCCTTTTCAATGTTTCATTCTCTTTGTACACATTTATTTCTCAGGTGTTAAAAGGGGATATCCGACCTGCAATTGAGACTCATGAAATGTTGTACCAAGTCACCAAAAAACACAACTTCCTCCCAGAGGTAATCAGTCTTTTTGTGCATGATTTAAAAGTAACACATTTTGGTCTTAAAAGGGAGGGGGGTTGTTTCCAAAATCAACTATTTAATTTTTAGCTTTATATCATGTTAAAATGTCATTCCCTCATCAAAACATAACCAGAGTGTTGCTTTGACTCATTCATGCATGTTTGACAAACGCTTTGTAATAGAACTAATACTTTTATGTTTAAGCAAAGTAATTCATGACGTCCTTTAATGACCTAGGTTTTCATGACATTCTGTTCATCTGCAGATAGAATGATTAAAGTCAAACTCCAGTATTAACAAACACCATTCTGTCATCTTAGCAAGATTTGATACAAGGTCAATGGAAAACACAAAGATAAACACAAGTGATATCTAAGAATGACTTGTTAGCAAATCTTGTTCTGACTTTAATCATTCTGTCTGCAGAAACAGCATGTCATGAAAACCTAGGTCATTAAAGGATGTCATGAATTACTTGCTTAAACATAAAAGTATTAGTTCTATTACACCCTTGAATCTCATTCGGCCATGAGGAGCTGTCTAAACACTTGCTGGTACAAAGCCCCGCCTATTTACACAAAGCTCCTCCCTGGAGCTCAGTCCCCAGCTGAGCTCCTGTCAGAGCACCCCTCCCCCAAAGCATTGTTATAAAGTTGTGCCGAAGTGGGAGTGTCAGAAAGGGTAGGAAGTCCTTAAAGAGACAGTGGTCAATTTCAAGGCTTTAAATAGACTGATGCAAAGTCAAATTTATTTTTGATATATACAGTACTTTTATAACAACTGAAGGTATAGAACTGAACTATGTGCCTGGAAAATACGTAATTACCACTCTTTAAACTACAGCTCGATCGAAACTTGCTGGCGTTTGCAACCAAAGGACTGCTTGTGGCTTTAGCTGTCTGTCAGAACTGCTTGTAAATGAACTACGAACGTGTGCTGACCGCTTCGCCCTTCTTTGTCTGTCCTCAGGCCTTCACTACTGATTTCAGGGTACACTGGGCTCAACATCCCCTGAGGCCTGAGTTTGCAGAGAGCACCTATTTCCTCTATAAGGTAATTCATCAAGCAACCGACATAATGCACAAGTTTCTTTTTCACTGGCACAGCACAGAGCCACGAAACGTATGTTTTCAGAAATCACTTTTCATGTGTAAAAAATTAGGCTTTTGTATTGAAAGTTACCTGGAATTGACTCAGTTTGACAGAAATTGCTCCCGCTAATAAAGCAGCTCCAATATAAATATCAGAAGCGGCTGTTCACATCGACTGATCTGTCTGAGATCATCTCTCTTCAAAACATTCACACTTCACTGACCACCTCTCTGCCCTGTCATCCCTTCAGGCCACAGGTGACCCTTACTACCTGGAAGCAGGCCGCACCATTCTGTACAAYCTCAACCGGTTCGCCCGTGTGCCCTGTGGGTTTGCTGCCATGAAGGATGTCCGCACGGGGAGCCACGAGGACCGGTCGGTATACGAGGCTCTCTCTGTTCCATGACCGAAAACTGACTGCATGCAAGGAGTTACAACATTTAAATATACTTTTTTGTTTTTCTTGGAGTGGCAGGGTAACCAAAACTTATAAGTATTACATTTGTGAAGGATGTATTAACAAATAATTGGATGATTAATGGATRGATGGAGACCAAATCATTGCAGTTCTACTTTATATAGACCCCAACTGAATGATAAATGTGTAAAAGAAGGAATCAAAAGCACGATACTTTAAAATAGTTTATAGATTTTCTTGTGCTCATAGTGATGATATAAAAAGCTGCAGTTCTAAAAGTTGTTTTGCTTCAWATGCATGTTTTCTCCGTTGCAGAATGGATTCCTTCTTCCTGGCTGAGATGTTTAAATATCTCTTCCTGCTGTTTGCTGAAGAAGAGGACCTTCCTTTTGACGTGGAGGACTATGTCTTCACAACCGAAGCCCACTTACTGCCTCTGTCTCTCTCCACAGCTCCTTACACCTCAACCCCTACCTCAAACAGAACTGTAATTATTAGGATTTCAGTGCATTTTAAATCCAAGAAAAGTGATTAAAGTATTTAGGAATTCCAGGTAATGATGAAACCTGTTCTCACTTTTTAGTCAAGCGAAGAGCTGGATGACTCCAACTTTGACTGGACTTGTCCCAACACCCGACTCCTGTTTCCTGACCCCGCATTTCCTCGCAAYTTGAGAGAGCCAATACGTAGTGCTGTGGATAAAAGCTGCCCGCGTCCTGCCTCGTACAGGTATGTGCGCGTACGAGTACAACCAGTTTTTTAAGTTTGCACATTTTGACCCGAGTTTGGTAACAGCTGTATCCCTTCTGCTCCTTTTTGATGTTGAATATCCTGAAATGTAGATYTGTCACAATAACAAATTTTGCTGGACGATAAATAGTTTCAGAAATTATTTCAACAAGTTTGGTTTATACTAAGTTTGGAGACAATTTTAAACTGATATAATAAAATAACCTGACAAACAAACACACACTCACCCCACACCCCATGTTACGAAGCTTATGGAAGTTTAGGAAATTTGTGTACGCAAAAGTTACAAACTGACCTGAGACTGGGAAAACGACACACRACAACAGCTGCTGTAGCTGTAAAATCACATTTTTTWATTCTTAATTTATCCTGTGTTTTCCTTTTTCTTTATACTGTGAAATAATTGTGGCTTACAAAATTTAYGGAAGTTTACAAAATTTGCGTAAAGTTATGGATGGACCGGGAGTGGAGTTTGTGAAAACAACAGCAGCTACTGAAGCTGTAACATCATTGCCCTCTATCCAAGCAGGCACAGTGTATTCTTTGTGTCTTCCTCTGTCTTTATGAAATAGTTGTGGTCACCAGCATGCTGCTTATAAAGTTCAAGGGTAGACATAAGGATTTTTTTTCAGGTTGTCCAGCGGACAACCTGTTGACAAAATCTGGTTGTTTGCAAAATATTTTGGTTGTCCAAAAAAAAAAAAACCTCAATTAAAATGTAATTTAATAGGTAGGCTATATTGTTCTGTATAAGAAGTTTACTGTATACAAA